GGAGGAAGCCCTTCCCTATCTCTCTAGCAATCTGACTTAAAGGCCCGTAAAGAGGTTCTGTTTTAATTTCAGTAGTAAAAATGTGGAAACTTCATTCCAAATTTATTACTAGAAATAGGTCCATCAGCTCTCTATCTGTTAATGGGTTTACCACATTCTAACTTGACAAATGAACGTATAGCTCTGCTCAAAAAGTAGAAAGATACAGTGACAAAAACAAAATTCACCTGGGGAGGAAATGACATAAATACATTTGGAATATTTTTTAAATGTTAAAATCATTTGGGGTTGCTATGGACTGAATATTTGTTCACCAAAATTCACATGTTGAAATCGTAACCTTCAAGGTAATGGTATTAGGAGGTGGGGCTTTGGGAAGGTGAATAGGCCCTAAGGGTAAAGCTTTCACAAATGAAATCAGTGCCCTTATAAAAGGAACCCCAGAGAGCTCCCTCACACATTGCACCTTGTGAGAGCACAGCAAGAAGTCAGTAGTCTGCAACCCAGAAGAAGGTCTTCACCAGACATCAAATCTGTCATTGATTAGATCTTGGACTCCCAGCCTCCACAATTGTGAGAAATAAATTTCTGTTGTTTAAGCCACCCAATGTATGGTAATTTGTTATAGCACCCCAAATAGACTAAGATAGGGGTATTTTGGGATTCATTCCATGTCATATTATGGAAAATAGATTTAAGCAAAGTACATGAGTATCTCAGTCCTCAACACACATGTAAAGACAGATCATAGCTTCATAACAGAAAAGCAGCTCTATTTTTACAGGTTTACAATACAGACATGAAGCTGTGGGTACTGTGAATTTTGAGTTGAAACAAAGATTGCATCAAGTTTTTACTTAGTTTATTTTTCCTATACTTGATTTGTTGCGATTACTGGGTCTGAGGCCATGAGGTCATTGAAAACACCACCTTGGATGTGACAACAGTCCTAAGTCCCCTGTTCTGATGGCTCCTGAACCATTACCAGGGAGGAAAAAGACACTTCAAAAATATCTAAATAGCCTTGCTGGCATGGCTCAATGGTTGAGTGTTGACCTATGAAACAGGAGGTCACAGTTCAATTCCTGGTCAGGACACACGCCCTGGTTGCAGGCTTGATCTCCAGTAGGGGGTGTGAAGGAGTCAGCCGATCAATGACTCTCATCATTGATGTTTCTATCTCTCCCTCTCCCTTCTTCTCTCTGAAATCAATAAAAACATATTAAAAAAATAAAAATATCTAAATAAAATGAAGCGACAAGAAGAAAAAGGACAACAAAAGCTGCACGTGTGAGGGGAGCTTTTGTTTATGAAATCACAGCTGTTCTTGGAGAGGGAGACGAGGCTTTACTGTGGCTGCCCACCAGTTTCACCTCTAGGGCTAACTGAAACCGCCCAGGGTCCTTACCAAGAGGCCATCAAAAGAGGGCAACAGTTTGGAGAATCACCTTGTTTATTTGATTTTTTTCATTGAGGCTCATCTGTTAAAAAGCCTAACTTCATTTCCTCGAATAGGCTTTGAAAAGAATTTGATGTCATTTTGGTATTTTGGAATCTCGCCTACCTACAAGGTATAAACAAATCGCCTCTGAGGCAAGTCTCATCACGGAACACACCCTGGTTATCAGCTGCAGAGGCCTGTCATCAGCCACCATTGCCTCATCTTGCCCCTTCAGACTTGTCGCCTCCCTGCCCGAACGCTTCCCACTCCCAGCATGTCTGAACACATCGTGTATGCTGGATAAAGAGCTTCTGGTTGGGGCTGGGCCCTCCCTCCGTGGAAAGAAATAGCTGCCTTCGGAATATCAGAGCAATTCTAATCAGGCATAATTCAGCTCTACTGTGACCTTTGTTCTCATTTTTCCTCAGTTAGGCTGGTGCACTGGTCCTACTTGTGGAAATGTGTCTTTCCCTCCACCCCGCCCTCTCTTCCCCTGCCCCTCGCTTCAATTTCAAGAGAAAAAATAATCCCTTTTAAGTAGAATATTTAGAAGATTCTATCATGGAATTCTTACCGTGGATGGTTTTTCTCTCCTTGCCATTGCCCTTACGATCTCCCCTTTCCCCCAGTTTGCTGTCTGGGTGTTTCTCTCTTACACCAATTTTCTCAGAGTTTGGGATTATCAATCTAAAATTAGATTCATTGCTGTTATCAATACAACCTTGCAGTTATTTCTTTCAAACTTGTTTTCCCCCTTGTTCAAATTATTTCTTTATTTCAAACTAATTAAAGCATCGATATGTGTTTCTGTTTAAGTATAATTTAAAATCTTTAAAATGTGGGAGGACAATTTACTTTAACCTTACCACTAATGCGATAACGCGTTTATTCTTTCTGCCAAACTTAAAAGCTTATGCGAAGCTGCAAAATGCTGAGGGGGCGTCCCTGCTTCAGAAAAAGAGAGGGAATGAAGCTGTAAGACAAAATTTCTCAGTAAGAAGCAGCAAGTGGAATCGGTTGATTTCCTCTTATGACTTTGACAATTGTTCTTTTCTTAAAGAGAACAGGAAAGAAAAAGTAACATGACTAAAATAGTAACGCTATTTTCAGAGTTCTAGGATAATCCAGAATAGAGTCACTTTTGGAGGAAAGGAAATAGGTTTCATTTCTGGCAGTGGATCCCCTCCACTGATTCGCATATCCCTTGAGTGATAAGCTGTATGAAGATGCCTTGAGTTCATTCCACAGATGGAAAATAGCAAGTACAGAAATTAGCTAAATATTCACTAGGACTACCATCTGAGGTTTGCTTTTGAATCAAGAGATAGTATGCGACACACATTTTGCTGAGCATGCTTGTCAAATTTATCTCACATTCCAGATGCACGAAGAATGCATGCATTGAGCACACACACACCCCATCCAACAACCGCATCCTAGGCAGCCCCTGCAACGCACATGTTCTAACACAGCTGCAACAGAGCATGCTCCCAAGCCTTCAAGCTTCTACAGCCCTCAGCCAATCAGCTGCCGAAAAGATGCTGAAGCAGCAGTTGAAGTGGGCCTGGGCTCTGGCACCCATGGCCATTCCAGAGAACTTCCTGTGAGTCCCAGGGCTCAGAGGAGGCCATGAGGAGGCTGCCAAAAAACGCCCCAGGCATCAGTCTGCTTCCTGTCTTCATTATTCTTCACTCTCTGTCTCTCTTTGGAGCCCATAAACCTGTTTTGGAGGTTCAGATAGGCCATACTACCCACCAGTGACAGTAGTAACCAGAAAAATAATGAATAGAACAATAGTTCTAGCAGAACAATAGTGTCCACATTATCTAATGTTCTCTTGGCTTTCTAAAGAATTTATTTTGCTTTTCTATCCTTTGGTTGTAAGTGGAATACTGTGCTTAAGCCAAGCAGGCAATGTAAAGCTCTGACTTCAAAGCCATTTCTTGATAAAACATCAAACAGCCCAAAGTGGACCAACTGTTATCTAGGATTCTACAGATAATTAGCTGAAACTCAGCATCCACTTGCCATGGGGCTTTCTGTATACCAGGTCTTTCCATGGTCCTGCTTGCTTTGGTTGCCATTTCTCCTGTGTTTTATTGGGCAGGGAGAGGTTTGCATAGCCTCTCAATACAATTCCGTGTTACGGAGAGCAGGGAATGTGTATTCCTGCTTAGCCTCGCGGAGGCCCGACACATGCACTGTGCCCACACTTGCTCCTTGAGGCAACATTGCAACATCACTGTGCTCCTCCCTCTCGACCTGTAAACACCACAGGCTGCACCTTCTCCTGTCCTTTCCTTGCTGTAGAGGAGCAGCCTACTTTCTTCTAGGGATGTAGAAACATTGCCTTGTAAACTTTGTTTTGAAAAAAATGTGATGGTATTAAATCTACAGAAGGCACAGAGTCCCCCAGTATGGATTTGCCAGTCCCATGGGTACATTCCTGAGCCCACCCTCCAACCTTCAAACTCCAGCCCTCTCAACCCCTTTATTTGAGTCCAACGCTTGGTCTCACTACTCCAACCCCCTTGCATTTTTCCACTCCCCACCTCCATGCATTGCCCATTCATCAAGCCACATCTCCCTTTACATGGGAAGACTCACCTGAAACCCCACCACCTCTTCCAAGGAGCCTCCCCTGATTAAGTGGGGATGAAGAAACCTCCGAAGCATGACTGACAAACTCCCAATAGATGAGAACACACACACATCCCAAGACAAACACAGAAACTCACAAAAAGAGAAAATTACACATTCCCTACTTTTAGATTGTTTGTTCCTATGAGGGTAAGGGAATCAACTTTATGCCAATAACCAATTAGTCATTTCATACAATGAGGTATTCTTAATATTCTTGGGGGTTACTCAACAAAAAGCTGCTATGTCTCCTCTTTCCCAATGATTCTCATCTTTTTAGAAATCCCTTTTCTTTTTCATCTCAGCTTCCTGAATGCACAACTAAAGGAGAGTGCCACCTGCCCGATATGGATGGTACGGAAAACACTAGAGGAAGTTGGTCCTCGCAATCCCTCTTGGGTGGGGAATCACACTGCTAGGGGAGAACCTGCACTTGAGCCTGGCAAATGCCTTAGCCACTTAATTTTCTCATCAGGAAGCCTTGTGACTCTAGGCCTATATATTCCTGGGCAAACAAGTCTGCTACACCAGCATAAGGGACCAAAACACTCTAGAGAAGGCCCTGCTGAAAGAATGGGGGCAAGGCTCCTGACAATACTCAATGTCCAGCCTCAGATAAGGCCTTTGGAGAGCCAGGGGATCCCTACAGAGCACTGGATCTGAGGCAATCACATCAGAAAACAGAAACAGACATGTTCGCTCGTAAATGCTGCCCTCTTGGGTCAGCGTTAACGCCACCTGTGGAGGGCGGAGGACTTGTGGCAGAAAATGACCAGAATGAGTAGAAACACAAATGGAATGGCGATGGCTGGCAACTGGAACATGGCGTCGAACACCACTGCCACAAAGCCTTCGAGCTACAGAGCCACGCAAGGCAACCTCGAAGCAGAACATTACAGGTTTGTGGTTGTAAACGTACCTTCAACTGCAGAACTCAGTTTTATGACACCTTGAATAAAAACAAAAAGTGGCAGTTATACAATGGACCCGAATGACCTTTTCCAGTCTTCTCAGAACAAACCCGTGCTTCAGATCTGGACTTTTTTGCTGGCATTTTGATAATTTAGCTAAATAAATGTTGGCTTCAAGAACTAAGTAATTTTCAGTCCTTGATTAGACATCGTGGGTGTCTTCATTTCCCCAAGAAAATTTTTCGAGGGAGTTTTTCATTAAATGAATCTGACATGTTTTTGGGTGAAACAAAGGCCAACCTGTCTGTGTGACTATTTCTGGGCATAAATCACGCTGGATAATGGATTGATGAAATTTCACAGAACAGGACACCAGTGTCTAGTTCTTCCTATTTATTACTGCGTATAGAGATCATCTGATACATGTTGGGACAGGGCTTCTGTTGAAATATGCAACAGGTGCTTAAGAACCATGGTGTGATCTGGCAACTCCCTTCTTTGGGGTGCTTGGCCCGCAGGCCGTTTTCTGGGCCGACTGCTCAGCAGCCTGCTCCCTGCAGGTCAGACGGTGAGAGGGCCACCTGAGCATGAAACTGCTCACGAAGCACGGGCACGTTACCCTTGGCTGTATGTTCATGTGCCTTTTGCGTGAATTCAAAGGTGAAAATGCTAAACTAAGATCAGTCAGGCCTGCTTCAAGGATTTGATTTAAAAAGCACTTTTTGGTAAGTCATAGTTTCAAATAAATAATATTTCCCAAACTCTCCGTGAAAGCCATGATACTTTAGGCTGAGCAAAAATGTCTACAGTTTCGTTTGGTTAACATTCTGGTTCTCTTTGAAGCTGGAGGAGTTTCAAATTAAAAATGGAAATAAAACTGGTAAACCAAATGGGCATCAGCACGAACACACTCTAACTTAACAGATTATGTTCACAAAAAAGATAAACTTGCTCTCTATTACAACTTTCCAAAAAGGGTATTTTCAAGTTACCTGTTGAATTTCATGTTTCCTGCAGACAAGTAGTATCTCTAGGGGAAAAAGTATGTATACATATATGTATGTATGTTTACTATAAAGTTTGCTAATATGAATGATGTGTAGTACACAATCTACAAATAATAACAGAATATACAGTACTCTTTAGTGTGAGTTCTATTATAGCCAATTAATTCTCACTTAATGCTTTTGTTGATTTTAGCCAAACACTTGTATCCACAGCCAGCAAATTAACCATGATTTAACAAAATCATGCATTGAGTAGTATCCCAACGGCTCTTTTCCCAATAAATTTATTGTTACATCTTTTATGTGATCTACTGTTAAACTATTTTCCACTTTCATATAAATTATAGTCATTAAATTAAAACTCAACTTCAACACAATGCAAATACTCATATCATGACCTATTTCAAGCTATCAGTTTGATGTCACAGAACGTGGAATTGGGAAGAGATGGGCATAATACTACCATTATGTAGTATTTCATTACACAAATACAGCCGATATATACAACCTCGAGAGCATAAATAGCAAAATGTAGTCAAATGAGTAGGATGTAAAGATTTTTAGGTATTTATTTCCTTTGTTTTCAATATAATTTGCTTAATTGTAAGTTTAAATAATTTAACTTGTAATAATGGACTCACAAAATTTCTGAAAATGTAGCAACTGGCTCTTGCAAGCTGGTCTGAACCAGGTTCTAGCATAGCATTATCTTAACTGATGTTTCTTTCCACTCAGGCCCAGAAAAGAAAATCTTAATCTTCAAAATACTTTCTGAGTTATCTGCAAAAAGGATTATAATTTAACTGAACAAGCTGCATGTGAGTAAGCTTAGCATTTACTGTTATTTTGCCAGTAATTTCAAAACCTTTTAAACCTATCATACACAAAAGTATACTATACATAGGTCACCGTGGAAATAACAGTCATTGACAATCAACTAAGAACACAACCTAAATGGACTTGGCATCCTTTTGGTCAGGCAACTATGCCAAGAGGTATGAGTCATTGGTTTATTCAACAATGACCCTGTCTTTTTAAAACTGTATAATCTTTATACAGGAAACCAGGTCAGAATATTGATTTTTTTCAGCCTTATTTATTTTTGTGTTTAACCGTGTCGTCAGCAACAGTTATTCAAATGAAAGGACAGCAAGGTGCTTTAATCAGTGTGTAGAAATAGGCTCTATGCAAGTAAAGCAAGAAAATCTAAACAAATTCTTATAGGAGATGTGGGTGGTGATGGACCAGAGCCCAGTAATGCATTTATTAAGGGGAAAAAGATAAGTTAAAAAACAAATGAAAGTCTGACTTTAGAACTCTAATTATAAATATTATTTTAAGAAAAACTTTAATGATGCATTAGTTCTCTATGGACTGTTCTTATTTTTTTAAACCTCAAATCAATCTTTTCCTTATAGTAGAAGAGGCCTTTATATTGCAAATAACTATGTTATAGTGAAAATCAAGAAGTAGCTAAATCTAGTTGGATAGCTAATATTAACAGTATACAAAAAAAGCATAGAACTAGGGGAAATATATCAGTTAACTTAAAATAGGAATATTTTTAAAAAGTTTGAATATTTAAGAAATGATTGATGTTGATGCTGAAAAGTCACACGTAGCACTGCTGACTTCCAGGACACACAACACACATTATCTGGTGACTGGCTGACATTGACATTGCCTGGGATTCAGGGAAAGCCATAACACATACATATATGTATATACACACAATGGATCCTACCCTTTCCACCTCACATTTAATTCTTCATAGTCTGCAGAAATGTTTGAAAAATAGAGAGAAAAGGAAAAGAAAACCAACTGTTCCTCCCTCAACGTGATATCATTAGTGTAGTAAAATTTCTAATCTTGTGGGTGATTCATGTAGACCATGTCCAGTGTCTTCCTACAAGTCAGAGCCAGTCACTAACTAGATATGCTTTCTGCAGCAGTTCTCAAATTCCAAAATTACTCCACCCTCTTTCCTACCACTATCATCTAACAATTAAACTTAATTGATCTGAAATAATTCTTAGGAGAAAGGGTCAGGTTAAACTGTGAGTGACTAGGGCTCACGAAACCCTCCAATGACACCTTATTGTTGTTGAAATACTGATCAGAATGTTAACCCTGGCCATCAAGGCCCTATGTGATATATCCCTGCGTATTTTCCTACTTATTCTACTTCATCTCACTTGATGTTCTCTTGTATTCAAGAGGCTTTAGCCACTTCTGTCTTCTCTCTGTGCTATAATGGAGAGGCCAGGTGCAGATATTCTGACAAACCACATCAGCTAAGGAAAGAAGCTAGAAGGCCTGGAGGAAACTGTTGACGAACGCTGGAGGAACAGGGAGAAAAAGTCCTTGGAGATTGGAAGAAAATGCACCTTTTCTGATGTAGTGGCAGAAAGTTTTGCAACATTATGACCTGTAGTAACATGGAAAATAGAAAATATACTTAATGAATTCTTAGATTTTAGTGAAAAGATTTCCAGGCAGAATGTTTAAAACGCCAATTAGTTTTTTAAAATAGTTGTATATATTAAAATATAGATAAAGATGAGTTAAGAAAAGAACTGTTCAGTTTTCAAGCAAAATTTAGAGAAAACATAGAGCTAGTAGTTGTCAGTTTAAAGAAAAAGGTTTCACAACTCTAGCCTTTTTAAAGGCAAAATTCTCTCGAAGTAAGAAATTGACTGAGGGTGAAAATCATCTTAAGGGTGTGGTTGTAAGACCCTTTTGTATGATTTTAGAAAGATTTTAGTGTGTACCTGATAAGCTTGTAAAGAGACAAAAGGGCTTCTAAGAATCCTAAGTGTGTTCCACAGCAGCCTGATTCTGAGTCCAGGCTAAAGAAGGACCTATATTGAGGAGAATTGTGGATGTGTGTTTTGTCTAATGGAGTAAAGTCTAATAAGATCCATAGGAAGTCCACAAAGATTTTAATAGAAGTGTATCAGTGGATACATTATCAGCTTGGACAAAAATGGACAGACGTAGTTCAAAGTGAAAGAGCCTTTAAAATCCTCAAGCTCCCATGGTCAGGAAATAGGCTGAAAAGATTATATAGTCACAAATATAATTCTTATGTACTATGGACTGAGTTGTATCCCCTCACCCTCCCATTCATATGCTGAGGTCCTAACTAATCCCCAATGTGATGATATTTGAAGATGGGGCCTTTGGGATGTAATGAAGTTTTATAAGGTCATGAGGGTGGGACTCCCATGATGGGATTAGTGCCCTTATCAGAAGAGGAAGAGAAAGATACTGTTCTTTCCATGTGTATGCACTGAAGAAAGGCCTTCCTAGCACACAGTAGAAGGTGGCCTTCTGCAAGACAGGAAGAAAGTCCTCACCACAACCTGACCATGCTGGCACCCTGATCTCAGACTTACAGTCTTCAGGATTGGGAGAAATAAATACTTGCTGTTTAAGCCATCCGGTCTATGGTATTTTGTTATGGCAGCCTGGGCTGACTAAGACTTTATACAAACTGGATAACTCATAAGGTGCAACCATGAGTTTGGGGGTGGAGACAAGAGCTGCAGAGAATCATTCCCAAGAAATGGGATTGAACCCTCCAGTTAAGGAACTGGTAACATATGAATTTCAGAGTTGCTATGGCCCAGTGATTGCTATGTGCCCCTTGTTCCTACAGTTTTTGCATCCATCTCATCTCTGTGTCATTAGTATGTTCTAAGTGTGTGTGGAACAGATACCTTTTCATTTTAGTTCACAAATCTTCATATTGAGAGAAACTGTACTAGAGAACTACATCAAAGGAACTTCAGCACCTGGACCTTATTTAGATGGTAAGAACCTAAATCTCAAACTTGAACTGTATGCCATAAAGAGATAAGATTTTTGGAGAGCTTTAGAAGGAGTGAGTGTATTTTGCTTTACAGAGGAATCTAAGTAATTTGTGTATAGAGGGTGAACCATAGTTAGCTAGAACGGCTACAAATTAATTGAAACTGTTCCAATAAGAGAGATGGCATCTCTGTCATTCTTGATCTGGGAAGGCTCTG